TCTTCACTTAGCATTCTACAAACTTTTAAAGGACAGATGCAAAGATTTAATCCTTGGGTTGAGGATGGCAGTAAGGAACTAAATTGACTTCTAGTCAATTATTTTCCTGACCCTCATTTTGTACTATGAATTTTTTGCTGACTAACATGAAACTGTATCCTGCATTTTGATTAATGAGATAATTTTGTGCATCATATATTGACGAGGGAACTCTTTCTCTATTGTTTCTTTATGCTGTAGAACTTGTTGGTTTAGCTGCAAGAAATATGACTGAGCCAGTGCAGTGGGTGATGGTGCAATTCTGCTGAAGGTGTCCTTATTTTTCTAATTAGAAAAAAAAAAAAAAGCATGCATATCAGAATTTGAGAAATATAGGTGTGCTGCCACTGAGGTGGAAACTGGAAGTTGTGTTGCCTTAACTACACGAGTTATGGAATCATGGCATGAAGCCGAAGAGAACAATATGCAGGGTGATGGTCTCTCTCTCTGTGGTCCATTTTGCCATGCATATTAGAGTCATGGACATGGCCGCTTCTGGTAATCAAACCTATGCATATTCTAGTAAACTGAAACGATATTATAGCTGTGTGAATTGTTTTGAGTGCAATCATATCGTTTATTCAATACTTGTAAGATGTTTTATCCAATCATTTTAGCGAATAGCCGCGGTTTCTCAGCCTCTTAAGAGAAGTCATTAGCATGTTCTTGACAAAATATAATTTGCATAAGCTTTTTTCATCAAAATGTTAAAAGCCTAATCACATGAACATAAAGAATGAAATATCACGTGTCATATCAACAAAATTTTAGAATGGTAATAGTTATGCAGGTTTCATAGGAATAAAGAATGTCCTTTTGTGCTAATTCAAGTATTCAACCCAAATAAAAAATGTAAAACTATTTGTGTGCGCGTGTGAGCCTCGTGGGTAGTCCGACTGGTTCTGTAATCTGGTAGTTACTAGCAGATCTCGTTATCGATTTTTGTGTGCTACTTCGCTATGTATTCTTGAGGTAAGGGTTTAGTCTGGCTGAAAGGCTGAAATACTTCTATGCAAAAAAAAAAAAAATTACATGTGTGTGCGCGCGCACTGTGAGATGGGGCGGGGATCACGCCATATTCTGATGGGTAAGTTTCTGTTAATCCCCATATGGTATCGCATTCCGCTACATCATCCCCCTATAGTTTGTAAATGACTACATTATCTCCATGTGTGTAGATGTTAAATGGAAATCGGATGGAAAACACTTCTACTAACGGTGATTGAAAGAGATGCGCACCAAATGTGAGTCTTATCTCCCAAATTAGCATTTTTCATGTATGTTTTGTCTGAATTACCCCAACCCAAACTTAGCCCAATCTCTGCTTAGTCTGTCTGATTCCTCTCTATTCCACCAAATTTGCACAGGCTATGCCATTAGACCACGACAAGATCTCTACACTTGGTTTCACCACACTAGCTATCTCCTCTTTTTCACTTAGATTTGATTTGGGGCTACTTCACTGCATCTTTTTTCTCATTGCTATATTCTCCAATCTCACAAAATTCAATAAAAAAAATCATTGTTTATTCGAATAACTTAACATGTTTCGAGTTTGATTTAGATTTCAATTCCACCAAAGATGACACTTCATAGGCTTGGGCTATGGGTTCGACTATGGTATCATTCTCTCGGGTTGTGGAGAGTAAAATCGTAAACCTTACTCGTTGATATTCTCATAAGAAGACTTTAATTCAGATAAAGTCTAAATTGGGTTTGACAAAATCAAGTTATTTGCACAAATAATGGGTCTGATGGAATAATGGATCTTTTAGTCCAAAGTCTTCTTGTTTGAGATTTTTGATTGAAAATGGGTTTGATGAATCCATGTCTTCTTATATGATATTTATAATGGAATAATGGGGTCTTTGAATGATGATTTGAAGTTCTATTGATAGCAATTGCATGTTTAGTATCTGCTTTAGTAAGATTTTCCTAGCCGATCCATAAAAGAAACATGTGGAGACTCCCTCCAAAAGTGAGAGTTTCTCTCTCTAGGTAAGAGTGCCAGTCTCTCAACCTTGAGAGTTTCAAACCTTTTCAAAATCTTCAAAATTTCCGCAAAAACACACACACAATCCCAAGATTCGGACATCAGCCAGAATCTTTAATGCGTTGATGAAGTTAAGAAGATCGAACAATAAAGAGTGAGACAACAAAAGCCGAGAACTTTGAGAGAATCTTGTTCCCCATTCAGTGGAAAGCTTGCACCTAAGTTTTAGCAACAATGTCGGAAAATGAGAGCATGCAGCAACGATCTTAGCTAATCTGGTCCAAGGAAACAGACTCCATGGAAGACGTAAGGGTGCTGACAGGTATCTTCAGAGCCATTATCACCACTATTCCTTGATGTGTGATTCACTTCTGTTAGAGTTTTTGGTGTCTCTCTTTTCCAAAAGTTTCTTTTTTTGCGGATAAGGAAGACCATATATAAATAAAATATATATATAATATAAATATTTTTAAAAATATATTTTGTTGAGTTCTTTCAAAAACAGGGAGGGAGGGCCTCCTTTTTTTAAGCGACCAAGTCTGCTTGGGTAGTTTCTTTGGCTCTTTGCTTGACTAGTCTTGGTCTTAGTAGTGATAGTAGGAGGTAGCTTTAGAATTTGTTTAGACCCCATGGCGGAGGAACTAGCAGATGCGATAAGAATGTTCGCTCTTTCAGATAAAGAACTGGAAGGTACTGACCTTGGAGGTGAAGAGATAGATAGAGGTATTCAAGAATGTCAGTTAAGTTTAGTGGGGAGAATTAAAGGGAAGAAAGTGGTTAACTTTGTCGGAGTTAAGAACTTTGTGAACTCAGCTTGGGGGTATCCAAGGAATATGAGGATCATTGAATTGGGTCCAAATATGTTTTAGTTTTATGTTCCAAATAAGGAGGACAGAGATAGGATAGTAGGAGGTGGACCGTAGGTCATGGACAACCAAATTCTGGTGATGAAACACTGGTTTGAAGGTATAGAGGAAGACACATCTGCTTTTGACCTGGCACCTCTCTGGGTCCAAGTTTGGAATCTACCTGTGCACTGGATAACAAAAGAAGTGGGGTGGAAAATTGGTTCTGTATTTCAGGAAGTAAAGGATGTTCCGGTGCCTCAAGTTGGAGGGAAGGAAGGTAGACACTTAAAGCTATTAGTGGTACTAGATACCTCCCTACCTCTACTCAGAGGATCGACAGTTAAAGTTAATGGACTTTTAAAATGGTTGAACTTCAGATATGAGAGATGTCCAGATTTTTGCTACAAGTGTGGAGTAGTTGGACATGGAGAAAAGTCATGCAAGGAAGTAATACAGATATGCAAAGGGAAGCAAGAACATCAGTACGGTCCATGGATAAGAGCCAATACAGGAAAATCATCACCCCAAAAGGAACAACAGAATAAGTACAACTCTGAGAAGAATCATTGGGGCTATAAAGATGGAGAGATGGTTCTGTTAAATCCTAAGGAAAAGGTGAATATGAAATATAGTCATAAGGACTTTATGCCAGGGAGAAAGGAAGACAATAGGAAGGGTAATGAAGAGAAACAGACAGATAGGGAAAGGTCCAAAGAGGTTGGAGGTGATGAGGTACAGCAACAAAGAGTTGAAGTTAGCTGCAGTGAAGTAAAAATGCATAGCTTCAATTCAAATAGCAGCAAAAGTCAGAAGGTAAGCTGTACCAGAGAAGCTACAAAAACTCTCATTGGGGGAAAGAGTAACTGTGTTTTTGAAGAAGGAATGATGAGTATCCCAGAGGAGGTAGAGAAACATGGGAAGAACAAGGGTGAAGTGGAGAGGAATTGACTTGAGCAAATAGCACAGGAGCTAATGCAAGTAACAGTAGTAGAGGAAGATTCTAGTAGACCTGAAATAGCCTTAATGCAAATTGATCCAGGGTCTTCTGACGTGAGAACAAAGGCTGCCCAGAAACATAACAGGAAAATGAAGAAACAGTTGAGATCTCCCAAAATCTCTAGACAGCCATTGAGAGAACTGAGGGGGAACAGGACTCTGACACCTCAACAAGGGAAAAGGAAACTGAATTTGGTGGATGAAGACATGGTAGAAGTGCAGGTGAATGAAATTGGTCCTAAGAGAAACAAAATGGAAGAGGTAGAGGGGAACCTGAGTGAGAAACTGGAAGGGGTAGGGGCCAACCTCAACTGGCCCCTCATGTTACAATGAAGGTTTTGGTGTGGAACTGCCAAGGAGCAGGGAGCCTCTTGACAGTTCCCCAGTTGAGGGAGGCTAACAACCTCCTCTCCCCAAACTTGATCTTTCTAAGGGAAACCAAAAACAGGTTTAGTTATATGAAAAAGGTCCAAAAAATTCTGAGATTTGAGGAAAGTGTGATTGTGGAAGCTATGGATAGGAAAGAAGGCATGGCCTTGTTTTGGAACAATGATATAGAGGTTAGGAAAGTTGTTACAACTGCCCTCACTATAGAGGCTCTAGTGATTGACCCGGACACTCAGCTTGAGTGGTGGTTTATTGGTGTTTACATGAGCTGTGATGCTAATATTAGGAAACATCAGTGGAAAGTCTTGACTGTGAGAGAACAATTGTGGGGTGATAAATCTCTTATCAAAGACATTAATCAAATGGTCTTTTAAAGGGAAGACATTAATCAAGTGGTTGAGCAAGCTTGGAAACAACCAGTTAAAGGAAATAGTATGTATAGGATTACAAGACAGGTTGCTAATTGCAGAGTGGCTCTACTCAAATGGAAAAACAACTTCACAGGAAACTCTTTGCTAAGAATCAATCAAGTGAAGCTTCAGATTAAGGAGATCAAGGACTCTAAGGACTCAGGAGGTAAGGATAAGATTGCAGATTTGAAGAAGCAGTTGAAAGAGGCTTACTCTAAAGAAGAGCAGTTTTGGGCTTAGAAAGCAAGGATTGATTGGCTGAGAGAAGGGGATAAGAACACCAAATTTTTCCATGCTTGTGTGAAGAGAAGGAGAAGGAAAAACAGAATGCTTAACATTCAAAGGGAGGATGGAACTTGGACAAAAAGTGAGGAGGAGTTGGGAAAGGAAGTAGCTGACTATTATAGAGTCCTTTTCTCTCATTCTGGGAGTGAGGGTATAGCAGAGATTCTTCATGGTATACCTCCTGCTATCACTACTGAGATGAATGCAAAGTTAACTAGAGAGGTAGATGAGATGGAAATTAAATCAGCTCTTTTTCCATGAATCCTAATAAGGCACCAGGTCAAGATGGTATGTTTCCTTTATTTTTTCAAAAATTCTGGCATGTTGTTAAACCTGATTTAATTGCTGCTATTAGGCATTTTTTCCAATCAAGCAACTTGCCTAAGTCTTGGAATCATACTGTCATTTCCCTCATCCCCAAAATTCAGAATCCTACTAATTTGAAGAGCTATAGGCCAATTAGTCTCTATAATGTTGTGTACAAAGTGATTTCAAAAATATTGGCCAATAGACTCAAGAATGTTTTGAGCCATTGCATTAGTAAAAATCAGTCAGCTTTTATCACAGGTAGGCAAATTCTTGACAATGTCATTTTGTCTCATGAGTACTTGCATTACATGAAAAATAAGAAACAATGACAGAATGGTTTTATGGCTGTGAAACTGGACATGTCCAAGGCCTACGACAGAGTGGAGTGAAAATTTCTTGACAGTCTGGAGGAAATGGATATGGAGTTGCCTCTCTTCAGTTACATACTCCTTCAATATTAATGGAGTACCAAAAGAGTTTGTAATTCCATAAAGAGGAATAAGACAAGGCGACTCACTGTCACCTTATCTTTTCCTTTTATGTTCAGAAGGGTTCTCCAATTTATTGAAGAAGGCTGAGAGAGATAAAAGGATCTCAGGGATGAAGATAAGTAGGACTGGACCAAGCATGACTCATTTATTTTTTGCTAACGATTCATTGATCTTCTGTAAAGCTGAAAGAGAAGAAGCCAGGGAACTTATTCAAATTTTGAGGAAGTATGAGAAGGGGTCTGGTCAATCTATAAACCTCGAAAAGTCCTCAGTGTTCTTCAGTAGCAATGTGAGTCATCAAAGGAAAGTGGAAGTGATACAAAGCCTAGGCACAATTCAGGTGGCTACTCAAGGAAAATATCTGCGGCTCCCTATGGTGATAACAAGATCTAAACAGCAAGTATTTGGCTACATTAAGGATAGTATCAGTAGAAGAATGAATAGCTGGAAGAACAAGTTGCTCAGCCAAGGAGGGAAAGAAGTATTATTGAAGGCAGTTTTCATGGCAATGCCAGTTTATACAATGTCCTGCTTTAAACTCCCTAACAAATTGTGCAAAGAAGTGACCTCCATTTTTGCTAACTACTGTTGGGGAGAAAATGATGGGAGAAATAAGATGCACTGGTGCTCATGGAGGAGATTGGCTAAAGAGAAAAAAAAGGGAGGTTTTGTGACGACTGGAAAATTTCCTTATATTTTTCTTAAAATTCCCTTTTATTTGAAATTTATTACCTTACAATAGCTTTACTACTCATTTACCCCCTTAAGAATTGCAATTCACCCTAAAATCAAGAATTTTTTATTTAGGTTCGTAGTTAACGTACATTCAAGTTTTTACGTATTTTAGTAATGTAATCAATCGGTATAAACTGTGTATAAATTTAGTGATTAAAGAGTGAATTTTAGATGATATTAAGTGTGTGATTAGAAATGATAATAATAAGTTAGTAAATTATAAGTTAAAACCCTAGTATACGCGAATTAAGGAAAAACGGTGTGAACCGAAGTGTACCGTTTGTTACCGAGTGAGTACACCACTTAAACACTACTTTATTACCTTAATCTACTTGTTATTAATTGAACAAAATCAGACCTAAATATCTTCTTAATGTAGCTGAAATTTTGGACTAAAAACAAGAGAGAAAAGAAAAAAATTGACTTCCAATCAATATGTGACACTTGTCCAATTTTGATCCAAATGAATTCCTATCATCTTAACCTTCTTGAAGCTTCATTTCAGCCTCCATTTCTGCACATTCCAGCCGTGAGTTTGAGAGAGAAAAGAGGGAAGAAACCATTTAATTTTCATCTTGATTTTTAGCTTAATTTGAGTGAAAATTCAAAATCTAAACCGATCAAACTCTCCCTTTAATTCTTAAGAAGCTTTGTGTGGTGAAACTTTAGAAGGAAAGGTTGAGGTTTCTCTTGAAAGCATCATTAGCAAGGTATGAAGGCTGTTTTTCCATTATCTTTCCCTTAATCTTGGTTTAAGTTTGTACAGCAACTTAAATTCTTGGCTAATGATAGCTATTTAAGTAGTTGTGATGATTATGGTGGATTTGTGAGTTAGGGTTTTGAATTGTTCAGTAGTATTTCTTCTTGTTTAGATAGAATATGATGTCTATAATCTTGTATAGGAAGTTGAAGTAGTGGTTTAAGCTAGAAATGTGAAGGTTAGACCTTGAATGCACTAAATTCCAGATTTAAGGAGTGAAACTGCCCTGTTCTGACCAGCTTTATTCGTGCATGTTAAAGGCCGAATTAGGCTTAGGTTAAAACATGAAAGTTGTAGGAAATGATGTTATATAGTTGCCTGTAAAATTACAGTTCAATCGGAGTACTGTAGCATGCGAAATGATCGGAATACCCCTGACTGCCAAAAGCTTCATTTTGCGGACAGTTTTGTGATCTCACACTTTTGGCTTCGTTTTTCACCTTGATCCGTATCAAATCAGTCTTTGGCCAAAACATGAAACTTTTAGCCCTATGTTTCAGCTTTCCAACGCATCTAAAACGCCTCAAACGGTATTTTGTAGCCTGAGTTATTGTTATTTGAATTCAGTACTGACAACCGTACTGACAAGGACATTCTGATTCTGTAATCTATACTTTCGACCTGGATCAATTGTGAACTGGATTGAGTTGTCTTCATGAAAGTTGTAGCCTTTTGTCTTAGTTTCAAAACGGTATAAAGTTCACACCAATCCGATAAACGTAGCTCTAGTTATGACCAAAATGTTATAAGATGTCGAATTTGCCATTTAGTCTTTTGCCTTCAAAACTTGATTTCCGATTGGATTATTATACTTGTGTTGTACTTGGATGATTTTGAGCCCATTGAACGGCTATTGTGATGAGATTATTTGTATGTGTTTTGGGGCTGAATTGAGAAAAAATAATGAAGCCATAAATGGCTGAAAAATAGGTAAATACAAAGGGCGTGTTGTCCAAATTTACACTCGAGAGTTAGGTAGAGGTACTCGCGACTTGAGTACGAATTCGGGAACGAATATCCCTTGAATCGTTTAGGATATTCAAGTTTTCTTTCATAGAAGTATATAAGTTAGAATTCGGCCGAAACTTGTACCCTTAAAAAATGAAAGTAACGACTAATAGAAATATATTAGTTTCAAATTTCAAAGGTTAATCACTTTAAAGTTTCACCGTTTTGAAAGCAAGCATGAGTTTACAAATATTCTCCAAATAAGTTTCAATTATGTGATTCTCGTTAAACGAAACGTTTAAGTTTCGAACTTTAGTTACTTTCAAAAGTTTTTAAACAATGTTTTATCGCAGATTTGGACTCCACACACGGAGTAATACCCGAACGTAACCTGTAAAGGCACCGCATCTTTTGGTGAGTGCTTCCAAATACCTGATTGAACTGGACACTTGTTTTCAATGCTTGACCAATGTGATTTAATGATATGTAATTTGTTTGATCGGGCAAGAGTGTATTTTATCGCACTTGCCCTAATATGATATATATTTATTTATTGTTGTAATTGACTTGATATACTTGTACTTGACTTGTAAGTGCTAAACGGCAGCATGTACCACACTTAATGTGAGTGGGAAGTGCCTCTCATTCCCATCTCCGTACTTTTATTTTGATTCAGTCGATTGGAGATGATATCTCATCGACTTCTTTGGGATCTAAACCCAACTGGCTAGTTAATCGAGTCGAGCTGACAAGGGTTTGGTCGATTAGATAACGAACCATGGGTATCTAGTGTTGTTGAGTGGAGTGTTATCTTCTCGACTAATCGGTATACTCGAGTATTACCACCAGTGTTTATCTTGGAGTTCGGGCTCGGTAAGGGATTTGGATGGTGGATGGAGAGTAATTTAAGTGGTGCTCTACTGGATTGGTTACTTACTTGAAAGTTGACGGAGTGTCAACTATTACTTGATCAAACTCTGGTGATGCAATGGGAATTTGGCTTCTAAGAGCCATCCGTATCCTTATACTTTGGAATGATTAGTACTTATCGTGTTATTGTTTCGTTTTAAAAGAAAAACTTTATACTCGCTCACTTTGAGATTTGCTACTTGAAGTGTTATTACTCACTTTTATGAACTTTTCATACTCATTACTTTGCTACGTGATACTTGCACTTTTAAATAATGGTCAACTTGTTATTTGGAACCTCACTGGGCTTTTAGCTCATTCCACGCCATTTGGTTTCCTTATAGGGGGTACGACCGAGGCGTGAGACTGGTACAGAGTAGTCTAGTTTTGAAGTTTTGAAATGGTACTCATGCTAGCACTCGACTAGGGTTGATTGTACTCGAATTGTAAACACTTTGAAGTATTTTGGTGTCTTGAAGTTTTGTATCTGGATTTGAGCATCAATGTATATATTAAGTTGAAGTGGATGTGTTATTTATTTTCTATGAATGTACGTTATTTTTCTTGAATTATGAGTGAGTGAGTCCTGACGAGAGTTGGGCAGGCGACCCGCCGAACCCTGGGGTATGCCCTAGGGGGAGGTGGGGCCGTCACAGGTTTGGGATTCAAGGATTTGCAGAACTTCAACAAAGCCTTGCTGGCTAAACAGGATTGGAGACTGTTTTCCAAACCAAATCTATTAGTCAGCAAGGTCTTGAGGGCAAAGTACTTCCATAGGGACTCAATCTTTAAGTGCAAAGTCCTAAAGTGTGCTTCCTAGATTTGGCAAAATATGATGAATGTGAGAGATTTTGTGCAAAATAGAACTAGAAAGAAGATAGGCAATGGCAATGCTACAAACATTTGGGAGGATAGCTGGATCCCTGGAAATAAGGATGGAAAAGTCACATTTGCAATGTCTCAGAATTGCAACATCAGAAGAGTAGATGAGCTTATCAGTGGCTTTAGATGGAGAAAACCATTGGTACTTAGAACCTTCAACAGGAAGGATGCTGACGAAATCCTAGATATTCCTATAAGTATCTCAGGAAGGAAAGACAGCAATTACTGGTTACATAGTGGCAATGGCATCTATACGGTCAATTCTGGATACAAGGCATTGAGTAGAGAAACAACTCAACATATAGGAAGAAGAGCTGATGAGGCAGAAACGAGCTCAGCAAACTCCAATGGAAAGCAATGGAAGTGGTTGTGGAAGCTGAAAGTCAAAAGCAAGATAAAACACTTCATTTGGAGGAGTCTAAATAGGCTACTTCCAGTTAATGGTCTGGTGTTAATAGAACACACCATGGAGATCCAATATGTGATGGCTGTGGAGAACACAATGAATCTATTGAACATATGTTTTTTCAATGCAGCAGAGCTCAAGAGGTATGGAAGATGGCCCCAATACAGTGGGATGGGTTAACTGAACAGACAGGGAATTTTAGAGTTTGGTGGACTGCAATGCTGGAAGCCTCATGTAGGACAGAGGGTAGGGAGCATATAGAGCTTACTACGAATATCCTTTGGCAAATATGGAAAAGGAGAAATGAATGGAAGTTCAATGCTAAACGAAGGCATCCTTGGAAAACAGTTAACAAGGCTCAACAGGAATGGCAAGAGCAAGCCTCAGCTTGGAGTAAGGAGACAATGATCCCTGAGGATGCTGAAAGAGATGGAGAGGAAGTAGAACCAGTGGAGGTACGAAGGGATGAAATGTAGATCAGAATATCAACTAGTGTGCAGAAACAGACCAATAGTGTTGGTACTGGGATTTTAGCAACTAACTTCAGCCATCAGGTGGTGTCAGCCTGGGCATTAATTGATAGGAAAACAGTGAATCAATTGCAGACTATCGCAGAAGCTATGAAGATGGCCATTATAAAGGCCAGACATCAGCAATGGCAGAAAATTACAGTCCATATCCCCAGCCCACAGCTGCTGAAAGTGATTACGACGGGGGTGGCTAAGGATATCAAAATGTCTACTTTGGCTGATGATATTAACAACCTCAGAGCTTTGTTCCAGAAATGCTCTTTTTGTCTAGATAGGAGATTAGATAAAAGATGTGATATGATTAGTGATTATGCCTTAGGCATATTTCAAGATGAGGAATGGATCAATCCTCAGTGTGTCTAACACTTTTGTATAGAATTTCTTGAGACTTTGCTCATATAAGTGTACTTGCCAATCAATACAAAATCTACCGTTGCAGAGAAAAAAAAAAAAAAAAAAAAAGAAACATGTGTAGAAGAAGAAAACTTTTGAGAACTGTATATTAAATTTCTAAAGTTATGGTCTATCTACAATTTGACCCCAAAAGAAATATTTAAGTAGAGGTATAATAGTAATTAGGGTTGCAAACGAATCGAATTGTGAGCAGCTCGAGTCCGAATCGACTCGAGCTCGGTCAGCTCAATTATATATTTATTTTTTATTTTTTATTTTAATAGTAAAATTACATATATATATCCCTAATATTTTATTATTTGTAAAGAAAAATTAATATTTTATTATTTTTAAAATAAAATATTTATTTTTTATTTTTTAAACTCGAGTTTTACATTTTGAACTCGTCGAACTGGAGCTCAAGTTCAAGATTCATAAATTTAAGTTAAAACTCGGATCGATTAGACCAAAATTCGAGTCGGTTCGGCTCGTTTGCACCTCTAATAGGAACTTTTTTTGACGTTGTTAATACAAGTAATTTTCATCTACTTTCCATTTTACATAAAATTATAGAGACATAAAATGGTCATTTGTAAACCATAGGGGTATAATGTCATAAAATGTGATACGACAGGAGGGTTAATGGGAATGTACCCTATTCTGATGTATATTCACTAAAACTATGTAGAAAAGGTTTAGGCTTTTGTTCTAGAAATACACTTTTTGCTCCTGGTTGCTAACTAAAATTAAGTATCTAACCAATCCTAAGTTCCTTCGGAGCATTGAGATTCTTTCATCTGTGTTTTTTCTGTTTTTTGTTTTCTCTCTTTTTTCGTTATTGCACAATTTTACAAGCTTCAAGGAGAGCTGTTTGATTATCAATCTTCATCAAGGCGCAAATAACACTCCCTATTATTTGTCACGATCTAAAAAGTATGATAAATTAATAGAATGAATAAAGAGCAGCATCACTATTTTTACATTGCATACGATCTTAGAAAGAGCAGAAAATCATGCTTTTCGGCTTTAAACACTCCAACAAATTATTCTAAATTTATTTTTTTTAAAAAAATTATTCTAAATTTTAGAAATTAAGAAGAAACTAAAAAAGTTTGAATCCAAATTGGGCAATCATAGAAAGAGGATATTGCTAGCTAGTCAAACATCAATTTCTTTTTTTTTTTTAATAAAGGCTGTGTACTAATTGACCATGCAAAAAAGAAACGAGACCAAAAGATTAGCACTTGTAAAGAGTAAATTTGCCATCCATTAATATTGCATTGAGTCCACTTACAAAAAAATTGACTCTAAATCACAATATAAATTATAAATTTTCTAGACGATAGATACAAATATAAGAATCTTTAAAATAAAAAAAAAATAAGTTATCCATTAGCTTGTTTCAATCGCTTAAATCATACGTTATTTAATATAGGGATTTCCTATTGCGTTTCTGCCAACCCAAATCTTACGATGCAGAGGTTGACTCAAATTTCCTCCAGAAGTCTTTTAGGATAGGACAACGTATTTGGGCTAGAAAGGATAACATGCAATGATGCCCCATTGAAAACTGTTTTAAGCTGCAAAAGCCCAACTTCATTCTTGATAGCTTGGAGAACTTAGCCCAAGAACACCAAGTAGCAATTGGGCCTGAAGTGGTTTATCAGTATCCCATTCAATTTATAGGGAGAATCCCATCTTTTTGCGAAAATTTTGTCCGTAAAATTTTTCTGCTCTATAATATGCTCATTTTTTATATTTTGAAGTATCATTTGTTGTTAGCTTAATAAAAGATCCATGTTATTTCCAATAGCTTAAAAATGACATTGCATGGATTCGACTGCAGTCAGCACAAAAAATGAAAGCATATTTGAATTTTTTTTTTAGTGAAAGCATATTTGATTAATATCCATCCACTGATAATAAGGTAAAAGAACCCAAGAACTTTTTACCTTTTGAAATTGTGTGATATAGATTAGTAACTACATTCCTATTTCTATCAAAAAAAATAAAAAAGACACGGATAGAAATTTTTCATGCATTGAAAAACCCTGGACCAAGCCCTCACTCCGAATAAGAGTCGGACTCTATGGGGCTTCACCAGATTGAATCCGAATTAGTCTCACTAAAGGGTGGGAATACCAGATGCTCAGAGCCAAAAAAAAAAAATCATGCTGTGATATAGAATTTTTTCATGCTATCTCTGAGAAACCTTTTCAATACGGTCTGGAATGCTAGCTTCCGTTCATAATTTTGCTACCAATGATACACGTGGAATCTTTTTATGGCGGTTTATGTACATAAAACGTGCTAGTATCTATAATTACGTTGATGATTATATTGTCTGAATCAATCAAAACTAGTTGAGATTCCCGAATTCAAATCAGCCAAGAAAATGAAAGCAGTTAAATGTTAAAAAAATAGAAATATCGCATTCAGGGTTTTCATTCTATTGAAGCCATTGACTATTAAAAGTTTTGTGGATCCCCAAGAACGTGATCATGAAAGAGATAGTGAGATAAGAGCCCTTTTCCTCTTTGGAATTTCTTATGTAAGCGGATTTCTCTTTTTCTGACGGTAGATATGGAGTATCTAAGCCCCTTTTAGAAAAATCGAGTATATGACAAAAAGGGTTAGAGAAGTCCCTCTTCGATCGTTTAAATTGTTTTATGAACTATGGCCTACAATATCTATCTTAAGCCTTCACAAGATCTTGAAAAGTGCCTCTTATAAATTTTTTACACTGTCTCCAGCTCTATAGTCTAACACCACCACCCCCAATTCCAGCCGGGCCGACCCCAAAGAACAATAGTAGCCCTAGCTAGTTTAAAATCAGCACGCCATTAATTAATTGAAACTGATGTTCTGTCCCATCACTTGTTCCACGTTGTGACGAGTTCTGATTACTTCGAAATTCATAAATGTATTCTATGACCGAGAACATTTTGGTTTTACACGTTATATTCTTGTAAGTTATAAAGCTTACAATTTATCACTTGCATATATGCTTAAACTTGGACTAATGTTTCGTACAATATTTGTCGTAAACAAATTTTTTACATCAGTGTTTCCAGATGGATATTACATAATCTTGATTCGCATTTCAATTATTAGTTTTGCATGTATGGAAGCAATTTAAGCCATTACAAAAAAAAAAAAAAAAAATTTCTAGTGTAACAACATAAAAAGTATTTATTCATAAAATTTATTCTAAGTTCGACCATGACTCTGGTTAATAATTCATTAAGAGTATAAAAAAGAGTAAATAGCACGTAACGAGAAACTTAAAAAGGAGAGGAGGGGGAGAGGGGAAGCCATGGTTTCTTTTCTTACATAATACAGCACCAAAATGCTTCTCTCTCTTTCGCTTGAATCGCACAAATTGTATGGAAAAATCATATTTCTTTTCAAACTAAAGAGATATATGTGCGTGGCTATATATCCATGTAAAGGTTGGTATATATTTTTATGCAACAGTGATTGAGATATATATATATATATATATATCCAGATAACGATGACAATAATGAACTACCATTATTGTGTTGATGCCATTCATTTAATGTATAGGAAACCCTACCATATGCACCTCCTTGCATGTTATTGTGGAAATGGTCCCCATAGTGAAAGCATAACATGGATTCTTGCTTGCACCTGAAAAATTCTAATCCATCATTAAATGATCTTCCAATCCAAGTTCTTGGAATCTTCACAAACACTTTGTAAGGTATGCAATCACTTTCTACTATATATCAACCTCTGCGAATAAGAGAAAGTTAACCATTTCTATTGCTAGTAGGTCCATGAAAAAAGCGTATCATAGTACCTGGCTGGCTTTGTCACTAGTCTTGATTATTCTCTTCTTTTTGAAATCCAAATAAAGAAAAGGGTATCCATGTTTTCAATTATCTTGTGTCATTAGCACGAAAAAATTGACCTTTACCTTTCTCCAAAAGAAAAAAAAAAGAAAGGAAAATTTGACCTTTTATCTGTATGATCATTTTTTTTCTTCATTTTGTCCTTCACAAGGATGCATAAAAGTGATTGCATACCAAATTTTGGCCTTGGACTTGGACTTCCAATTTTTGGCCTCCTAAGTCGGTCATAACTCGTACGTTTTGAAGATTGTGCGTGTCGGTGTGTGTGTGTGTGTGCGTGTGTGTGTGTGTGTGTGTGTGAGAGAGAGAGAGATAGAGAGAGAGAAGTGTGTGAGAATGAGAGAGAGATCGAGGGGTGACTGGTGAGTGTGTGGACTGTGTCTGGTTGTGTGGGATTAGTAGGGGATTATGAATATTCTTACTTCATAAGCTAGATGATAAAGAAATGATTAGAGAGGTCGGGCTTGAAAAACACAATTACAGCATAAGTTAAGGATTTGTTGGATTCTGTGTCACCCAAAACATGATCAAGAAAAGAAAACAAAAGGGATTGTTTTCTTGTTTCCTTGTTTTGCCTCCCCTTCTAATATATCACTTCGAAAAGGGCCATGATCATCAAAAGATTAAAGAAACTAAAGAAAACATTGGGTCAACCCTGTTCAATAATCTTTTGTGGGTGTAGCCATGTGCTGGGTCAAATGGAAAACTTAGTGACAAAAATATTCTTAACCATCCATCCTTACTAATCTTCTCAACCTTTCTTTGTCATGTAATTATACAATTTTCTTGCCAGTACATGCTAACATGATTAATAGTTGGGCCCCACACTAATCATGTTTAACAATGATTTATTACTGTCGACATTCTATTTCTCTTGAAGAGTTGTTAAGCTTGTCGATTTTAGATTCCACATAAAACAAAATTTAGTACATTAATCAAATTCAATACATTGAAAAATGCAATTGCATGTTGAACTTTTGCATTTGATTGCTGCTCCACTACTCTCTCTCTCTCTCTCTCTCAAAGCCCACTTCATTTTTTCACTTTTTTGTTTATTTAGCTCACTTTGCAAAATCAGCAAACCTAGTAGAA